AACTTTAAAGGGGTCAGCTGATGTTGCTAAAAAGAACATTATTTTGTGTATTTGGTGTAATGAAATGTGTTTATGCGGTTTAAGGTTAAACAAACACATTACCGTATTGGCCCGAATATAAGACGACCCCCCTTTTTCCAGATGTACCTTTTGGAAAAAGGCTTTTTAAAAACCAAATCTTGTTTTTTCTCAGTAAAATACATTTTGACTTCAATTATTTTCATATTGCATATTTTTCCTATTTTAATTTTTGTTTTGAAAGTATGGTAAAAACTGGTCAAATGTACCAACAATCACATTTGAAAAATATACACTTTTTGATATACCATTAAAAACTAAAAATGATTGGCCAGCTATCCAGTGCGTTGTGATTGGCCGAATTCCTCAAGCGTGTGATGGAAATGTTACGTCCCTTACCATAGTGTGATGGAGCGACGAGAAAAAAACATTAAAACCCATTATAAACGAGTCATTTGTTGCATCCAGTGGGGACATAATTACTGATTATAATGACTTTACTGTCTTTTTACTCATTGCGTTGCATCGTGCCGCGTAAACATAAAACCATGTCTGCATTTGTGATCGGAGAAATTACAAATAAGCGCTACTCTACACGGCTTAAAACTCGCATTTGAATCATCAGTGGCAAATCCTTTAAATGAAAACGTACTTACAGTCTGTGAGTCAGAACAGACAGCATTGTAGTCTACTCTCCCAGGATCAGAAAACAGTCCTCCATAAAATGTGCTGCACACATCTGAATATTTGGGTTGAAGTGTTCTGGAACAGTGTTGTAAATACAACTTAACCACTGATTTCTAGTCGTGTCCTCTTTTGGAAGACCAAACAAAGTAGTTTCGCTTTCACAACGAAACACACGGCGGGCTAGAGCGAGCGGCGGACCGGCGGGCCAGAGTGAGCGGAGGCCGGAGGGCTAGAGAACGGCGCGGCCAGCCGGTGGATTCGCAGAAGTAGCGGGCTTGCGGCAACCTCATGTGACGACCCTGGGCTGGACTCCGCTTCGTCCACGGTGAAAGCCGATCCGGCGGTCGACAGCGCGAAGTTGATGTATTCCCTCAGCGACTAAGGGCAAATTATTTATTTTTCATTGGCTCAAGTTAAAAAATATAGATGTGAATCATTACCCTAAATTTTTTTAACTGGATGAATGAAATTTTTTTTTCAGTGTGGTATTTCAAAAAAAAAAAATTCCATTTGTTTTGTAAGTTTGGTCCGAGTTCTTGATGCTTTTTACAACGTTTTCACCAGCAGGTGTCACCAGCATGAGCTGTTTCAAGTGCTTTGAAACATTGAATCATTTTTCGAAGCAATTGGTTCAATGCTTCGAAAAGCTTTGTTTCTCCCATCACTATTTAAAAGTACTACAATACCAGGAAGGAAGTTCGGGTTGTTGATGTTTGTCTGCCATTCTCGCTCTGTCTGCACAGCTTGCGTGAACGCGCTGATGACGTATCCTGTCTGCACGAACCGGGAGCGCAGAGGTATGCTAATACATATGTTGACAGGCAGGTTGGAAAGCCAATTAAAACGCTCGGACCGAGCTTTTTGATTGGACAAACATTTCTTGGGCCTACACCTTCCACAGAATATACTGTATAAATACAGATAAATACATTTAGACCACTTAACTTAATGATTGCTATCGTGATGTGAAGAGACTTTCAACCAGCATAACTTTAAAAGTACTACAATACCAGGAAGGAAGATCGGGTTGTTGATGTTTGTCTGCCATTCTCGCTCTGTCTGCACAGCTTGCGTGAACGCGCTGATGACGTATCCTGTCTGCACGAACCGGGAGCGCAGAGGTATGCTAATACATATGTTGACAGGCAGGTTGGAAAGCCAATTAAAACGCTCGGACCGAGCTTTTTGATTGGACAAACATTTCTTGGTCCTACACCTTCCACAGAATATACTGTATAAATACAGATAAATACATTTAGACCACTTAACTTAATGATTGCTATCGTGATGTGAAGAGACTTTCAACCAGCATAACAAAAAATGTTTCTGAAGACAATCCCCTATTGCAGCTGTACTCTTGTATCTTTTTGTTCCGATTTTTATATACTTTTGCTTCAAATCAAAGTTTGTAATGTTGTGATTCACCTTGTAGCTGGTTAGTTTGGTTCATGGTTTGTAACTCTTTAAGAAAAGACTGTGAAAACAAAAAGTGTCAAAAAAACCTCAAATACTTGCACTCCGTACCACTTGCCACCACCCCAACTGACTGTCTCAACTGGAAATAAATGATTGCTATCGTGATGTGAAGAGACTTTCAACCAGCATAACAAAAAATGTTTCTGAAGACAATCCCCTATTGCAGCTGTACTCTTGTATCTTTTTGTTCCGATTTTTATATACTTTTGCTTCAAATCAAAGTTTGTAATGTTGTGATTCACCTTGTAGCTGGTTAGTTTGGTTCATGGTTTGTAACTCTTTAAGAAAAGACTGTGAAAACAAAAAGTGTCAAAAATACCTCAAATACTTGCACTCCCACTTGCCACCACCGACTGTCTCAACTGGAAATATGGCAACATAGGAAAGAAAACTGTTTGTCCAAATCTGTCACGAAGTCTTTAATAGTGATGGGTCAATATCACTAGGGTGCCTTTTGGTGTCCTGTACAAAAACTCATTTGCCATGATAACTTAATATAAAAATGGCTATGAAAGGGTGTGTTTAATTAGGCTAAGTTTTTATATTCATAACAAAAGCATTACTTGGCTCTTTAGATAAATTTTCTAGATTTTTTTTGTTTAGTTTTGTGTAAGAGGATGCATGTTATTTTGCTATGTCCCATGTACTGCTCATTAAATTTGAATGATAGTAGAATATTGTCAAATCATAAAATGAAAAAATGTTGTTCTCCTCTTAATATTTTGTTAAATAAGAGATTACTCAATTTGAGTGTATTGATCATTTGGTAATTAAAAACGATATTTTTATTTAATACAAAAGAAGAGTTTGTCCATGTCCCTTGAATGGTTGTCCACCCTGTCATATTGGGGAATCCGCCCCTTTAAGAAAAGGCCATCCTCTTTAGTGACATCAGGACAACAGATTTTTTGTCTCTTCAGTGGCGGGAATTTCGATGGCTGAGGTGAGTAAGTTGGTGACTTTTCAATTGACAAATTTTCTTCGTGCTTACTTGCTTTGCCAAAGCTTAACATGTCCACCCTGTCGGCATAAAATATGCCAGAAGTAATTAGAATACAGTATTTTCAAAATATGTAAGTTTAAATATACCAAATTCTCTTTAACAACCAGACTATTTAGCTAGTCAGTTTGTTATAAGCTAATTGAAGCTCAAAATGTCCACCCTGTTGGCCACTTAGACATGATAGGGTGGACATACACATGACAGGGTGGACATAGCATTCATTTGTAGTTAATATTGCTAAAAACAAAAATGAATTGGGGGGGGGGGGGTATATATCAATGTGATTGAGGATGTAATTATACTATTTATTATTATTATATTATTTTTTCGAAGTTGAATAAATGTTTCATTGCCATATTTTATCATGCTTTGTGTTCTGCATTATGTTCACCCCATCATGTGCTGGTCCACCCTGTCATCTTTATATCTTACAATAATATTTTAAATAATTCAATCATATCTATATAATCCAGTCTGTTCAATAGCTAGGGGTGGGAGCAACAACATGCAAATAAAAAAACTGCATCCAAATATCACAGTTTTCTCCAAATAAGAAAAAATACATGTGCAAATTGTACCAGCTTCTTTAAAAACACATGGTTTACATGAAATATTTTATGTATTTATAATTTGAAAGCAAACAAATAACCCTGTTTAGGAAAGGGACATCATAATATTGCAATGAAAAAGTATTTAACAGTAATATATATTTCCATTACAGGGTGGACATATCTTATGGTTTATGCTTCGAATAATGGCCCATAATTATCTTTAAAAAAAAAAAAATGTGTGGGAGCTCAGCTAATACGTTTCTATAGTACTTGAGTGTCTACTATTTATGACATAAAGCAAATAGGAAATTAAAACCAAAATGTTTGAGTATTGTGAGGGTTAAAATTCACTCTATGGTGATATTGACCCTGATATTTATTTAGATTTTATATTATTTTAAATTTCTCATGCAGGTTTTCAATTTATGAGTGTGGTGCGTGTAATTTATGCTGTAGAAAAGAATGTCTCTCCTGACTGGCTACATCACTGCATTTTTTGAAAACACAAACAGCAGATAGCAGTCTGGCCGCACGTACACGCCACATCGTCTTCAACAGGCAGAGCTGCTGAAAAGACTGAGCTCATCACTGTATAAAATATTTAGAGTAGGACTGCCATTCACCTAGGAGGGCTTTTGTGTCATGACAACGCAGTTTGCAAGGGGGACCATTGACATATTTAAATATATACACTTTCATAAGAAGGGCAAAAATGGGCACAAAAGCACCAAAGCCTTCAGTAAATGTGTGTCCTTGAAATTCAAGTAGTACTGTATCCCATTAATGGCCCCTTGTTTCCAGACAGGTCTGCTCATTAGTAATTGAACTCAGCCTGCATTCTCCCTACCTCAACAAAAAATGCACACAGCAAAAGCCCTCGTCTCCTGAGACAGTGAAGTTTGTTAAATTCTTGTGCTACACTTCAGTAAGAGGCAAATTAAGACAATTGATCATGTTACATTATAATGCAAAAAGCGGCACTGTAATTTCATTTTACATCATATAACGGGTTAGGAACAGTCATTAACTAGAAATGGAATGCAGACAATTCTGTTTGGATCTACAATAATAATTAAAAAAAATTACCTTTATACCCAAAATATGTATGACATATCATTCTTTAATATAATTTAAAGGCAGCGGTCAAAGCATTTTGTACAACTTCAGTGCAAAACAAATTTGGACTTGGAAAATAAACTAACAAAAAAATCGTCTTGTTGCGTCAACTCGTGCAACTACAGAAAGCAAAAAAGTTACTGTATTGCAACATATACAAATTAAATAATATACACAGTCCATGCATTTATGCACAGCCTCTATAGCTAAATTCATGAATGTGTATATGGGAGAGAATGTAAGCGTGTGCGTGTGTTTATGTAGAGTGTGGCTCAAGCCATCAGTGCGTCACAGTCCAGGTTTGGAGTTGATGTCCAACTTTCATGAACGACAGCTGTTCCCTCAGCCTGATTTGAAGAGCAGAATGGCCACTTGACCCAAGTAAAAGTAGATGAAATGCTTAGTTTCGTGCGTCACATAACTGCCAAAGTTCCGTCCCACAATACAATGCCATGTCGGATTATACTTCTTATCGAACTCCTGTTGAAAAGCAAGAACAGTCATTTATACTTTTACTAGGAGCAACAGTATTCTAGAAGGCCTGGGCTACCTCAACAGTGTATAGTACCATATTAATGCATTTACATACTTTATGATGTGCATATTGCAAATGCATTAAAATAGTGTGCACTCTTCATTAAAAAGTAATGTTATATAATACATTTGGGGGGTGGGGCCAATGAAACATTTAGCTGAGCATTAGTTTCAAAGTATTGAAATGTATTACACAGTCAAAGTTAATCTATTTTTGTTTAAGGTATTTTTGTTTCTATATCATTAATATAAAAATGTGCTGAAATTTCTCTCACTCTCAGGCCATCCAAGATGTAGACGAGAAATATTTGGAGAAATATAGCATTACATCACTTGCTCACCAATGGATCCTATGCAGTGAATGGGTGCCGTCAGAATGAGTCCAAACAGTTGATAAACATCACAATTCACAAAGAAATCCTCACGAATCCAGATGATCAATAAACATCATGTCAAGTGGAAAGCTGCATTTTTTTAAGAAACAAATGCATCATTAAGGTTTTTTTTTATTTTTATCATTAATGCATTTTTTTATCATTAATGCATGAAGTCCATAATCAATAATACTGCTTCCTCCAGTGGAAAAATGGTTCCCCTGTTGTCCTCTCACGTGAAAATCCACCAACATAATTGTTTAGAATGTTTTTTTCTTGTTAACAGTGCTGTGTATATTTCTCTCCTAAATCAGATGAGATGACTTTTCACTGGAGAAAGCAATATTATGGATAAAGGACTCATATTTAGCCAGAAGCAAATATCTAAAGTTAATGATGTTTATTACAAGCACTAGCTTTAAGCTTCACGAGTCATTAATTGATGGACTGGAGTCGTGTAGATTGTGATGTTTTTATCAGCTGTTTGGAATCTCATTCTGAATCTGACGGCACCCATTCACCGTGAGCAAGTAATGTAATGCTAAATTTCTTCAAATCTGTTCTGATGAGAAAAACTCATCTCCATCTTGGATAGCCTGAGGGTGAATACATTTTCAGCAAATTTACATTTTTGGGTGAACTACTCATGCTGAATCTTTGTAAGAATGAGGATGAAGTAGGAAATGATGTTTTAAAAATAAAGTACTGTTGAAGTCTTTGGAGGTGTCAATCATAAATATTCTGTGGATGGGTGACCTTTTTGATATATGCAGCAATGTCCTTCTCAATGTTGTACTTCTCCATGGCCTGTGTGGCACAATCCACTGCATCCTGCTGCATGTCCTCAGACATATCAGCGTTCTTTATTACTGCCTTCCTGTCAGTCATGATGGCTGTGAATATGAAGAGAAAAGGCAAAGGGGATTCACTGACCGTCTGGTATACAGTCATAAGAACAATGAAGAACCTTGATCATGAAGCTGAATTAGCTACTTAAATCTTTCTTGTTTAACAGTGCTACTATCACCACACAGAAAAAGTTATGATTGGAAAAGGTATTTAAACATCAGAAAAAGGACACCTTCACCTTAAAGGATTGCATTTCTCATTTTAAAATCATGAAAAGGTACTTTTTTTTTTTTTAAAGTTGACAATGACAAAAATAAAATCTCAATAAAAACTTAATTCGAAAAGTTTGAAATATTCGCACACAGCCATCACTTACAAAAAATAAATAAAAAATAGGGCCTGGCTCACTATAATCGCTTGTCAGTTCTTTTAATGGCAAATTCGGATGTAAATGGTCTGCTCTGGGACCTGTCTGAGTTTACGGAGTCATCTACCCTTCCAATCAGCTTATTAAGGAACTAGTGCATCTACTAAAAAGGAAACGTGCAGTCATGATTTGACAAAAAGGAGGCCACCTCAATCAGCTCCCTCTGCAAAAGACTCCCAGTGTTGGGCCCAGGAGAGGGAGGAGAAGGTTGATGAAATCCATTCAGTGAGGAGGATGCATGAGAAAGTGCAGAAATCAGATCTTTATCCAGCTCGATTTACTGACATGAAACTAAACCAAGGCCAACCGCATATGCAACAGAGAGGTCATCTACATCGGAGACATTTCAAATCATTTGCATTCAGTAAACTGACATTTAGAACTAGAGATTGACCGATATCATTTGGTATGACTCATAACTATATGAGTAGTTATTCTGAAACTGAAATGTGTTATTTTCTCCTATCCTCGCTTAGTATGCAGACAACACTAAAACCACTTGTAGTTTAATTTCCCGTTTATTTTAGTAAACCGCAGTTTATCTATCAAAACATGCCAGCGCAGCAAAATTGGCTCAACCAATTGCATAAGTTTGGGGCGGGAAGATTTGTGTTATTTTTTCAATAACACACAGTTAAAAAAATTGGTCAAGTAACCAATTTAATTTGATTTCTGCTTTTTGGGAAATGTTTTTTAAATTAAATTATTAATTAAGTATGTACAATAACTAATGTTACACATTGCTATTTGTATTATTATAAAATCCATTCATTAAAAACATTCATGAATGTATTTATATATAAGTATATACTATAAAATTTAAATAAATTTCTTTTAAATGTATAGCATATTTTTTAATAAGGCAACAACATATGATAGATACGATAGGACAAAACAAATACAGTGCAGCACAAACTTTTTTTATAGGTTTTTATACAGTCTATGAGCACGAAGCGCTTACAATGTGCGCATCCGGTGTGCAGAACGATGACATCACAGCATCATTCTGCACATTGTAAGCGCTTCGTGTTAAAAACTGCAAAGCACAAAGGGAAGAGAAATTGATGCATAGCGTATTATATCTGTGCAACAGTTATTGAGCCTTTCGTTTAACAGTTTTAAATTTCAATTACTGTGCACGTTAAAATATATTTATATTCTTTTCTACGCCCGTGTTTTGTTCTCACAGACACCCGGTAGCAAGTAACAAAATAACAAACTCCGGCAAGAAGATAAAGTCCTTTTTGCAAAATCATAGACATGTATTTACAAATCAAGTATAATGGGAACACAGAATGATCTTGGAGAGAGCTTTACCGAGCTGACTGCTGTAAACGAACGCAACCAGGGTTTAAAGGCTGAACAAATGACTGACAGCCACAGTGGAGAAAAGAGTTTGTGTGAACTTTAATGTAAGGACTTAACTATTCATATGTAGCTCACATTAAGCTATCGTATGGCTTCAGAAGTAACACAGAATAATTCGCACAATCAGGAAAAAAAATAATAAAATCTCGGATTTGGATCGGCCCTCTCTACATACCCGGTCCGAGAAAAATGGCACTATCGGAGCCGATACCCGATATGAATATCGGATCGGCGCATCCCTATTTGTGGGTTAAAGGGTTGGGGGGGTGAACAAAGGCCTCCTGTAGCTAATCGATGCGGTTTTGTAAGAAAAATATCCATATTCAAAACGTAATAATCACTTTAATGTAGCTTGCGCCAACAGTCCTACACGGAAGCAGCTCCGGGTGGATGACGTATGAGGTCAGCGTTGCGCATGCGCTGCTCAGAAGTGACGCACGAGGAAGCGCAGCGGAGAGATCAAAACAAAACACCGGTCACTTATTAGAAGTACAAAACCAGGATTTGTAAAGAAGAATGTCGGAGGATTTCGATATAAGGCAAGAGGAGACTGGTTTTCCTTTGCTCCTGTTAACAAACGTTGGTTTTCACGAGACTCACCGGCGCATGCACAACGCTTCTTACAAAAGCACATCGATTCGCTACAGAAGGCCTTTGTTTCACCCCCCGGAGCCGTGTGAGACACTTTTTTTATGGATGGGCACTTTTTATTTAACTTCTTTTGGACTGATGCATGCAACACCCGCTGAGTGGCATGAAACAGCTTGAAAGATCAAAGACTATTTTTAATATAACTCCGACTGGATTTGTCTGAAAGAAGAAAGTCATATACGCCTAGGATGACTTGGGGTGAGTGATTTGTGGGCTAATTTTAATTTTTGGGTGAACTAACCCTTTAATTTCCCTGAAAACTTTAAATAATGTGGCACTATAAAAACATCCCAACAAAATTGGCTCGACCATTCACATAAGTTTAGGGCGGGACTATTTGCTTGACTAGCCAATGGCACATGGAGGTGTGTTTGAAAAATGTGTCCCTTTAAATGTCAATAAATTACATAAATAATTTTTTTTATTTTTTATATATAATTTAATTGAATTATTAATGATAAAAAAAACGACTGATATATTAAAATTTGTATAATAATCATTATTTCTACCATAATTGACAAGCTAATAATTTTGACAACTACAAATATTTTTAAACAAAAAATTGCTATAAGATTTTGCCGCTTAGCAGATCTGATAAATGAAGTAGAAAAGTGTGAATATCTGTAATAATACTGGCCCAACCGATTATCGGACTATTTAAATGATAATGTACAAGAGCAGAATGTCCTAGGCAGCTGCATAAGTAACAAGATGCAAGAGTTAAGAATTACATTTCATTGTGCAGAATGAACGTGAGAGTAAATTATGCTGTAAAGCACAATTAATAATTCACAGCACAGGTGTCTGCCTTTGATAAGGTCACGCAGAGGGAAATCATACAAAGCTGATATAACTGTTTGTTGCAAGCTGTGGTTATTTTTACAAGACAAACTGAAGTAACTTTCACTCAAGTGCTGCCATGTCAACAAAATACACTGGTGTCTTCAGAGGAGTCCATTAAAGCCATACTGTGCTGATGTCTTCAGCGTCTGCTCTCAACGCTCTCTCGTGATTGGCAGAATTACGTAACATTTTTTTTCTCCATTCGCCGAACAGTTCTAACTTTCATTTCACGCCACCGCCCTAATTATTCTCTACAAAAACAATTTCACGCAGCATATTTCTTCTCAAAAACGTCTCGAATCCAACGATAACAATTATTTAAAGGCGAATGCCTAATAGAATTGCTGCGAGTGCTGCGTCCACGATGCTTCATTTGAATACAGCACTAATTATTAAACTTCCCAAATGCATAAATGTTTAAAATGCATTATTTTTTTTCTCACGAGCTACATGGTCAACTCTTCGGATGCATGCATAATAAATAAACGCACATAGCTCACCCGCTTTTGATGCTTTTACTCTGGAATACTGTTTAACGCAGGCTTTTTTGAGCCGCCGTGTTCACGCTTGACTTCTCGAACCACTATTTTTCAGTCGTAACTCTACCCATGCGGCTACGCTCGTAACTCACATCCAACTTCGCGTCACGAAACCCGTGGAGACCCGCCCACCGCACTGCACCGGCTCTATGATTGGCTCACGTTGATCGTGTTACGAGCGTTTTCCACTAGCTTCTCACTCCCCGCATTTTATTTCATCCCACAATGCACCAGGGCCCGTCTGGACTCAGAATCCCACATCCTCAGGCCAAAGGTATTGATTCCTGTGAGGTATAATTTAATTTGTTTACCACACTACATGAGAGCTCAAGTTTATATGTAACTTACTGGTTACTAAACATTATGTTCACTGCCTTAAATAGTGTTCACATTTGGAATCAACCAAGCATGATTTCATAACGTCTTCTCATAAATTCATATTTCAACATACTAATCTACAGCTATATGTAAAGACAATGTGTTGCGTGCCAAAATACTTGTTTAATTTACTATGTAATGACCTCAAAATCTTCCACAGACACACATATTTGAATGTTTACTGTATCGGTCACAGTGCAAGTTAATTTCTAGAAAAATGAAGAAAACAAAACACTTTAATTGAACATTTGAGCTTTATTTAAAGAAGGGAGAGAGAAAAAACACACTACAATCTAGAAATATAAAGTAGCCAATTGTGGGGGGAAAGAAACACCACTGCCAACACAGCAAATGCCAACAAATGTTATTTGAAAAGTGATTTTTGAAACCCTAAATAAACTACAACATCCCCCTGAAAATGTGCCTATGATCCCACCCTCCCACGAATTCGCCCCTATTTACCACGCTCCTCATGCCGATTCCATCCAGCCTTCTGGTTCCTTGCTCTGCTTCTTTTTATACCAAAAAACAAATCTCGCAAAAATAAAAGAGGCACCTGGATCCCTTCTGCGCGCATCAATGGGGCTCCACGGAAAATGAAAAAATGAATTTGGTTCTAGAGAAGCCAATTACGTTGTGGTTTGGTGGGGCGGATGCGGGGCTGGGGTTGGGATCCTCTCCTATGGTTCCCGTTCCCGGTAAATTGATCCCGCTCCATGTATGTATCCATCCTTATCCTAATCCTAATCCTGCTCCTGATCCTGAACTGATCCAATGATCCGGCTCCAAGGATCGGGACACAGTGAGCCCCTCCTCCAATCCAAACCTTTGAATACTAGCAAAATCAAAGAGAGGGAGGTAACAAGTTAGAATCACAGCTAAATGAAGAGCTTCTATTATTGAAAGCTTCTATAAATTGATCATAGGAGCGGTATTTTTTTTTCCTGTGTAAATGACAAAAAGGATACCAGACTATGATGTGCTCTCGGAAGAGGTTTAGAGCACCACCTAAACACATTAAATTGTGCTTATTCATTGGAAAAACAAGCAAATCTAACCTAGAAAAAAAGACACTTCCTCTTGACAAATACACAATTTACATGAGAACAACTGCACATGGCAAGCCTTTATCTTGTCTAATGATATATCTACACGAGTTCAATAGTGGCCTAATCCCAGCACATTTTGGACAACAGGCACAATAATGTACAGTATGTGGAAAATATTGTGTTTTTTTAACCTTAAACCGCATAAACACATTTCATTACACCAAATAATGTTCTTTTTAGCAGCATCATATGACCCCTTTAAATTGTCAACGCAAAGAAATAAATGTCTATAAAAAAAACCTACATTACGTCTAAATTAACTCATAAATCAAATATAATTTCATAAATTACATAAACAATTATGAACAAAACAGCATCATGTATTTATGCATTGCTTAATACAAAGAGCTGAATCGCCCAACACGGAGATTGGATTTAAAAACATAAGAGACTCAGTGAAAAGGAATAAAACTTCACAAATTCGCGACGTGTTTTCTAAAAGTTTAAACTGTTTTAACTTTGCATGGCAGCAGCAGTCATATTTGTCCGTCTAAAAATGCGCTGAATATGCGTTGTGTGTGAATGGCTTGGTTTCGGTTTTAACCCATTCAAGATTTTCTCTGCATTGAGCTTCTATATTTCTCTAATATTTTGAATGCATAACACAGCAGCGGCGCATCTCGTGGGCTAGACTAACAAAACATTCAAATACAACATCACTTACATCATCATCACCGCATCTCGTGCTCCACTGATGACGCTCTCCCTCGCACTCCTAACATTCAAATGCAAATGTTTATTTAAAATTCAACTAATATTCATTTTTTTTAATTGACAATCTCCTCATCACAGGCAGGCACAGCACTCAATTCAGCATGTGTTCGTGTGTGCTGTCTGTGTCACTCATAGCATGTGCCTATATCGTGC